TGTATGCAAATATATATCCTGTACGTTTATCTATCAATTGATCAGATTTGTATGCCTGTATTTTCCGTTCCACCAGCTTATCGATGGATCGCAGGCCAAATGGGGAATCAAACCCAAGATGCGAGCCATGCAGAGTCAACCAACAGTCAGTCGTTCGCTTCTGCATCACATTCAGCGCGACCAGATCAAAGTGCGGCCCAATGTTGAAAGGTATGTATGTTCAATGTGTTTTTACCGTAATGTCGTAATGTATGTAATATATATATATATATATATATATATATAAGTTTTGAACTGAATTCCGTGGTATGTATAGTGATGTATGCTGAACTTCTTTTATACTGTAGCGCGTGGTAATATTCACTCAGCATATTTTGTTTTTTTTTCTTTGATGCATTTTAGTATACATTACAGGACGCGTTATACTGGAATGTATAGGGATGTGCACGAGTCTGTTTCACCACTTGTAGCTTAGCTAAAACCTACTGTGTGGCGTGATCGTGCAGTGTGAGCAGCAGGATATACGCTAAACCCCAACGTCTAAAGGAAAAATTCCCATAGCTTGCACAGGCTATCGCACCCCATACCTACATACACATATACAGTATGCACTTGCATATACACACGTGTGCTCTCGTTTATACATACATGCATATGTACACACACACTTATCCGCTTACATGCTGGACAAGGACATGGTGTACTTTGTCAACGGCGAGTCTGCCAAGACAGACATGCTCATAGCGTGCACAGGTTATCATATCCAATACCTACATACATATATACAGTATGCACTGGCATATTTCATGTTTATACATACTTACATTTGTACACACGCACTTAACCGCTTACAGGCTGGACAAGGACACCGTGTACTTTGACGACGGCGAGTCTACCAAGGCAGACATGCTCATAGCGTGCACAGGCTATCGTATCGATCTTCCGTACCTACACGCGGACCTGAAAGCGGGTATCAAAGAGGGCGAGAACGATGTGTTCCTGTACAAGAACGTCTTCTCACCGACGGTTGGCCCATCTCTGGCGTTCATTGGGTTTGTACAACCGGCGTCCGGGGGTGTCCTGCCCATGTCTGAGATTCAGGCTAGGTACGACTTATGTGTATCTAAGTATGAATTGTATCCATATATAAGTGTGTGTGTGTGTGTGTGCGTGTGTGTGCGTGTGCGTGTGTGTGTGTGTGTCCGTATAGAAGACAAATTGTCATCAGTAGAGTGAGCGATGCATTGTTGTACTCACAGGTCTTGTTCACCTATGAATAATTCTTGACCTTCATGTGGCTTCGTGTATCATGCGTACTGTGACATTATTCCCGGACTGGGATATACGCCAGGTACTCACATACGTATGCTTATCCATACGCATATGCGTTTATGTGCCGACCCGCGTGCAGACTATTTGCGTTCTACATACAGACAAGCATGTGACCAAATACAAACACCAACACAACCACAACTACACCATATCCGACGTACGCACACGTAGGCTTACTTCCACCCCCACGCTCTCGCAACACACCCTGCAGATGGCTGTGTGCGATAGTCAATCGTAAGGTCACCCTCCCGCCCGTCCAGCACATGGTCGCGGATATCCACAGGGAACAACACGCGACACGGCAGCGCTACTTCAAATCTGCCCGACACACCATCCAGCGCGACCCTATTCTGTACTGTGGTCAGATAGCACAGATGCTCGGAACGCAACCCAGGCTCTGGCGGCACCCCACACTAGCTCTGAGATTACTGCTGGGAAGCGGCGGTACTTTCCAGTGGCGATTGGATGGTCCGGGTATGTTTGGTGTTTGGTAATATAATTTAAAGGATACGTACTGTTTGATCTTGTCGATGTTGGGTGGGGTAAGGTCCGAATAACAGTCATGCTAACCTATCCTGACCTTATGATCTCACACAAACTATCAGGCAAATGGGATGGAGCTGCCGAGGCCATCAGGGACGTTCCGCTGCCAGGGCTGACCACATACGGCCTGGCTGTGATTCTGCTACTGCTAGTATCACTCCCAATCACCCTGCCCGTTGCAGTCATTATGGCACTCTTGCTCTATGTTGTGCAAGCAATACAGGGCAATTATACCGGCGCAAGCGGCCAGGTTGAAGATCTGTCCGGTGGCGACAAGGTGAAGGTGGCGAAGAAAAAGATGTAAATGATGATTTGATTTATGGAAAACATATCATTAATAAACGTACATACTTAATGCATGAACCCTGCTAAATGTTTTCCCATTGCCTGGACTATATTACCTATACTTTACGGGTTGTGTACGTATTACATAGGCTACAGAGTTTAGTGTGAAAGTTCAAACAGAAGTTGTAATGTATGTGTAAGAATACGTATTACATAGGCTACAGAGATTAGAGTGAAAGTTCGCCATCAAGGAACAGAAGTTGTAATATATGTGTAAGAACACGTATTGCATAGGCTACAGAGTTCACAGTGAAAACTCGCCATCGAGGAATAAAAGCTGTAATATACTTGTATGAATGGTGCCGTTTGATACAATAGAAAATCAAGTAGATGATACGTTGACTACTACAAGAGTCGTGAGATGCACTCTCTGACGGCGAACGTATCCTTTACTCTTCAAAAGTGTCATATGGCATTCCTTCATTCGCTTTTTAAACGATTGAAGCACGAGGCTGCATGGTTTCAGTACGGAAGCGTGGTAAATACACCAAACCTTCTAATGCAATTGTGCATCAGAGGGTAGGGTTTAGATACACACCCAATTGAATATTCAGGCTCACTGCAAGGGCCCGATCAAGTCCTTACCACTTACCCGTTGAGTTCTTCATCGATATCCCTTACTATGCGGTTGGTTCACTCCTACTAGTCTCGTAGCGCTGGCAAGTTGAGCGGACTAACGAGTACAAATGGTGTCCTGCGAGAACCAGAAAGGACTGTTGAGTTTGATTAGAAATCGAATAGTTTATATGAATTATTCGAGACGGAAGCTGCCAGCAAATCAGCCATTCTCCTGTACCATTCACCATGTATTTATTATTCTATAACTATGAGTTTGGTACAGTCCTACACTTCACAGCAAATGCCACACACAGTGCAGCGAGCTGGTATACTTCTCGTTTTGTATAAATACGATAATAAATAATAGATCTGATGCAGTCGATGATAATCTAAATAGTACATTGGCACATAGTACAGGTGTAAGGCTGTGAAGGCAATGGTGTACAAACAGACCATGCGAACGTGAAGCCCAATTGTATCTTAATAGCAATCGAATGAGCTATTGATCTGAATCGCTTGCTATACTTGACCGTGTACGGTCCAGGACCTTTCCGGCTACTGCGGTGATTGCGTTCATGTGTATTCTTTGTAACTAAATAGTATTACTATCAGAATCAAAATAGTACCATGCATACTATGAGATGACCGTTTGTTCTCGATACGAATGGCAACGTATATTATCCCGGTATGTATTTAATTGGTTTGTTAGCATATATATATACCTCGTAATTTCATGCGTACAACTACGGCTTGATAATAAATATGCGGTTGTTTGTGGTAACTTTTCCTTTGTAGTTCTGCGTGGTATTCCAGTGGAGTTGCTTATTCTCCACCCAGCGCTCTTCTACCCAGTCGTAGTGGCCCTCGTGCTTCTTGGTTGACACTGCGTGCATCCAAATTCTTCCAGTTGCTGCGTCCCACTTGGCTTGCTTCTTACAGTAGACAGAGAATGCATCATCATGATAGTCAGTCCATCCTTTGTATTCGTTATACATGCCTAGTTCCATTTTATTGATCATATTGACAAACGCTGTGTACTGTACCTCAGACACGAATACCTTATCTCCTTCACAGACCACTTGCAACTCCAAGTCGATATTGAGCGCACAGAGAGTTTTTCGCTTAAGCATGTTCACACCCCCATCTTTAAGAAGCGGCTCGACCCCTTCAGAATGCTCTTTGTCTAGGATCCATCGGCCCTTGAAGCAATCTAGTGCGGTGATATCGGTCATATTGGTTGTGAAGTTTTGTTTTTAAATAGAGTAGCTTTGTTGTGTGCTGTGATGACGTGATGCATTAAAGTGCTGAATGTTGAATC